AAGATATACTAGAATCAACCTGGATTTGCTATTTGTGTAGGAACGATATAAAAGTAACAAAAAAATGGGAATCATCTAAAAAGAAAAATAATTAATTTTTTAGTTGGATTTTTTTTTTCCCACCACAAATAAAATTTAGTCAAAATAAAATGAAAATACATTTTTCTGTTTATTCATCCAACCCAATAAATCAAAAAACAGCTATTAGAATGTAAAATTCATGGAAAATACTGAATTCTAAAAGTAACTACATTCATGTTTCAACTGCAATCAAATACATTACGATTGCTTATCTGAACAAAATTCATAGATATGCATGTTGTTTATTTACATGTCTCAGTTTTTTTTGATCAAACAAGTACAACTAATCCCTCAATTCAACTAATCAAAAAAAAGTGAAAATAAATTCTATACAAAACATCCAAAAAGTCTTTTCAGCGAAAATCCAATCAAGCTAAAATATAGTAAATGCAAGTATGTAAACACGGCCATGTTGTGGTTGTGGCAATGCACGACACCTGTGAGTCTGAAGATGGCTGCCAGTTTTGTACTGCGTTTGTTCAAATTCAGTTATAAAATGCAACCCTAGTTCAGAAATCTAAGAAGTGTGAATGAATAGTAAAACAGATTTGAAAAAGAAACAGTGGCATAAACACCACCGAGATCAACCACAGGAAAAAATTTAGCCATTGATAGGTTTTCCTCTTCCACTTATTTCCGCATCTCCCGTCTGAATAACTTTCTCAATGCAAGCATGACTTCTATTCACATTGAACAATGGCATCATAGAGGGAAGGGTGTAAAGTCGTATCAATGACCTATTGTTAAATTGACCTATTGGTAAACAAGCAGTTGCAGTAGTTGGTGGCTTGTTTTTGGTAATTATAAATGTGTAAATAAACATAATATTGTCTCCTGTCTGGGAGTGATTTATTCTTCTTTAGCAGTTGATTTACATGTTAATTGAAAAAAAACAAAATGCAGGTATTTAAAATACACTAAAAATAAAAAAGAAGTGAATTAATAAATTCAGAAATACACCTAAAATTAACTTTTGCAATGGTTCCTCACCACATAATTTTATCTGAATCCAATAAACCATTTTCAAGATTTGCATGAAACAAGATGGTTCACACAAAAAGACAATGTACAGACTGACATACAGACATACATATAGCATGAGTCCCCATCTAACATGGGTTGAATATATATCAACAGGTCTTGCATCTCTCGCATGTACATACATGTACACAGCTGTTACAAGTATTTATTCTGAAGGAAAAAATGATGTGGAAGTAATCCACCTTCTGCAGTCGCTGCAAGTGGCTGGGTTATTATAAGCAAGGATTTGGTAAAGGCTGCATGCATTTTTACTATCAACTCAGTGTCTGTCTGGTGTATGTACAAGTAAAGATTTATTTCATAGGAATGACATTGAGCAAACAAACAAAGCCTGACAAGACCAGTATTTGTGTATGTTGTCACAGAAAAGGGAAGAGTCAATTTCAACCAAGATAAAAATTTCAGTAGAAACAGAGAAGTCAAGTAATGTACACATTTTATATTAACCTTTTCACTACCAGACTTTCTCACCCAAATTTTCTCTGCATTTTTTTTTTAAATTCTTCAATATTCCTGAAAATGAACCTTCATTTTGGAGCCAATAGAACAAATGTAAGTCAATTTTCAGATTTTTTGCAAAAAAATTTGCTATATTTGTCCCAGTCTTCTGAAGGAAAGTGCAGACTATGAAAAGAACTATTTTGTGAATTTGTGATGAAACAAGCTGCCGGTCGGTTGAGATAGCTCCATTGTTAGCAATGTACATTTCCAATTAAAGAACTGAAAATATCATTAGAAAATGAACAATATGATTAGTATCAAAGGACTTTCGTTTTTTAACAAGAAGTCGAAAATATCACTATTTACCAAAAATTACAAAAAAATTCATCAACATTATAGAATTTAAGATATCATCACGAAATGAACAAATCTGACAGATGACTACCCCAAGAATCTGTGTTGCAAATATGAAAGCATTTGGTTGAACAGTTTCAAAGAAGAACGACAAAGACAAACAATCAGTAATATGAACCTATGCACCGTATACAACACGAAACGTGCACTGTGCAGATTGAAATGAGTTGGTCCACTTTGGGAGAAAACAACAAAGTAAATAGAATATTTAGAAATCACTAAATAGGTATGGTCACTTATTAGTCACAACATGTCAAGGCATATAAAACCCAACCTGTAACTTATGTGTAATTAAAGAGACAGGTCATTTTCCGGAACAAGAACTATATAACAACAGAGAAACCACACACATTAGTGAGCGAGAAAAAAATCAATGTGCCGTAAAATTATACAATTCGCTCGTCGTCTTGTGATAATAGTCCAGACATTTATTTGAGTACGAGCAACAGTAAAGCCTGTAGTTGAAATAAAACAATCATGATGGTCACTCGTGTTTTTTAGATAATCTCTTTTAAACCCTACTATGGCTTTAACTCCAAGTACAGACAGTCATCATGGAACATCACTTCCGAAATAGGTCCCATGCGGCATGAAAACTG